TCAACAGAATCAAGATATCGAGATAATTCCAGGTGACCGTAACATGTATGCTTCAGAAGTCAAAGGTTTAGATAAAGTTTTTGAAAAGGTTAAGGCTAATCTTCGAAAAGGATATGAACGTAACGCTAGAAGTTACAACTTACGTAGAAGAGAAGTCCAATTTCAAGTGGGTGATAGAGTTTGGAAAAGAAATAAGGTTTTGTCTTGTGCTGTCAACAAGTTTATGTCCAAACTAGCACCGAAGTATATTGAAGCAATTATCAAGGAAAAATTGTCACCAGTGGTTTATCGTTTGTCAGATTTAAATGGTTCGGATCTTGGTAAGTGGCACATTAAAGATTTAAAGCCTTTTGTATCAGATGAGGACAATATGTCATCTTTAAGTAATTAGTTCATCCTATCCCATGTCTGTATTTTCGAGTTTATATGTTGATTTGATTTCATCCCTTCGGAATATTGTTTCACTTCTGATAATTTTAATTCAGGTAACCCATTTGGGAGACACATGTGAGAATCACATTTTGTCATATGTAGGTATATAGATTTTGGGTCTATATCCTAATTTTTTTTGTGGAACCGTTGCCGAATTCCCTGTCTCGCTAGGCGTATAGTGGAGATAGTAACGCCTACATATTAAGTGTAGAGCAATTTATTTTGGATTTGTGTATAGCACTTGGTTTAGGCAACGAGGTGTCATGGCTATGCCTGCCCGACAAATCACTTGTGTTACTGCTGTGAATGTCAGCGAGGTTCACTGCAGGGCATAAGGTTAGCTTCCCCAAGGCATAGAAACTCATGTCACCTACAGTTCAAGTAGAGTCAAAAATTTCAGTCTACTCGACTTTAAAGAGTCTGGCGATCGATGGCACGCTAGCCCATTCTTTGTAACTTACTTTGTTTTTGTTGTTTAATCCCACGCTAGCCATCATCTAAAAGATATTATTAAGAAGTTTCGACTCAGTTAAGAGGTCATCTTCTGATTTGGTTTTTGTTGTTTTGCCTTTATCAAAAACTGGATAAGAATTATCCGAGTTTTTTCTTTTAAGAAGGGGCATTGTAGCGTTTTTTTTTTATTTAAAGTGCATATAAAATATTTCTATGGTACGTCCCTGTTGTTTCTACCAAGAAATCGATCAATAAAGTTAAATGTAGGTATGTTGTAAATATTTCAGGTTTTTTTGACGAAATTTTTAAATGCGTATTAACGCTGGAAATATGTTTTTATCTCTGTGTTGCAATGTTAGGTAAAATAACAAGTTTTTTGTCGCCAAAGAGGTATTATGTTAAAACGCAATAAACCATGAATTCCCCTAATATTAAAGTTGTTTTTCGTTATTAGAATGAGAGACAAAAAGAATATTTGTTTATTTAGGATACCAATACTGGCGTCTAAAAACGCAATAAAGGAATATTTAAAAGGTTTTTTGTCGATACAAGCGAGGGGATATTTGTTTTGGTTCTTGAGTTTGTGGGGACAGGTTAGCTGCAAGACGGAAGGGAAATTTTTGGCTAGTTTCTTGTAAAATGTAACGAAGCAAGAGGAGTCGAGATTTGAGTTCCAAACGGGGCAGACATGGACAATTGAGACCAAGATTTGATTTGAAAAGGAGTCGAGATTTAAGTTCCAAGCGGGGCAGACATGTGGGAATGGAGTAAAAGATTTGAGAGGAAGTGATGAAGAACTTCTCGAAGAAAAAAGTCGTTTAATTGTGATGTTGTAAGCCGGCATTCATTCGCCAAAATGGTGGAATTTTCACTCTAAGTAATATGTCGTTTCTGAAAGAGTGACCAGTAACCACTGTTTTTATTTTGGCTGAAGATTTATGATGTTTGAGCAGTGAACAAGTTTAGTTCCTGTTTGTTTTTCGTTTTTTTGAGAGATCCAGTTCCTTCCCGAGATGCCCTTTTCACCTCATGTAGAATAATATTGGAGCAGTTTTGATTTGGATGTGCCAGTTTCAGCTTCCAATAAAGCTTTCCGTTGATGTGCAGTTAGATACCCCGCAGAAGTTAGCCAGTTGTTCAAAAGTTTAAGTTAAGATGTGTGAACTGAGGTAACATTTACGTTATTAATTTTTAAAGTAAAAATAGACATTTTCTTTTAAAAAGACAAAATTTGCTTTCTTTTATAAATTATTTTTTAAATTATTTACCAAGAACCGTTTCGAAGAGTTTTGTAACCTTTTGTAAACAGATATGTAAGTTTTTTTCATTTGTATTTGACAGCTAATTTTATTTAATATGCCTTTGTATAAGCTGTATTTTTGAAAACTGTTTGGTGAGACAAAAATAAATGTTTAATTTGTTTCTCTGATCTATTTTGAGTTTTATTTGAAAAAGATATTTTTTTTTTCTATATTTTTGATATACAATTATTTCCCTAGTTACAACTAGTGGTTGTAATAGGTATAATTGGGCACCTCAAGTGGCGCCCTATATTAAATTTCTTGAGGTGTTTCCGTTTATTTTCATTCTGTTTGTCCCAAGAGATTTGTACAAGTACCCCTTTATTTCTTTTTTTTTTGTAGTTGCCCCAATCTAACCCCCAATATCTTCAACTTATCCACGACCCAGCTCTCCAACAACCAACTGAGTGTCCGTATGCACTTGTTTCGATTATTTTGTTTGCCCAATCTTGTCCCCCATATTCTTACCCTGTGGTAAGCAAAATAGTTGTTACAATAGTAAGAAAATGCCAGGCTGGTTTCAGAGGTGGTAAATCGACAATTCATCAGATTGCAACACTGAAACAAATTTTTGAAAAAAAGACATTGGAATATGGCATTGATACTCTCACAATATAGACTACAAAGCAGATTACGACTCTTCGAATAGAAGAGAAATGTTCAAAGCAATGAAAGAGCTAGAAATACTAAATCAGTTGGTAAATTTAACAAAACTAACTCTTGAAAAAGTTGAATGTAGAGTACGAATTCAGAGCGAACTGCCTAAACCTTTTAAAACAAATAACGTGCTGCGCCAGGGAGACCTATCTCCTGTATACTGTTCAATCTTGCTCTGGAAAAAGTAATATGTATGTCGCAAATTACAACCACTGGTTCAATATATAATAAATCAGTGCAAATCCTGGCCTATGCATATATCAATATTGTTGGGAGCACGGAAAAAGCTGTACGAGAGTCGTATGTAGCATTAAAAGAATCAGCTACAAAAATGGGTTTATTAATAAACACCAACAAAACGAAGTATATGAAAATAAGCACGCAATCACAAATCCTACGACCACTTTTTATCGAGAACGACGTTACCGAAGCAGTGAACAAATTTGTATACCTGAAAGCGCTTCTTAACACTGAAAATAATACTGCCGCAGAATTTGTACGACTAACAGATGATTTTGGGCTCAATTTCCTCGTTGAATCCATAATTATATCGAGAAATAAAAAAATAAGACTTTAAAAAATAATATTACGCCCAGTCCTAACATATGGTTCAGAGACCTGGACTCTAACAAAATATAATGAAAACATGTTAGGATGTTTCGAAAAAACAGTACTAAATACAGAGAGATTTTATTTTATCTTTAAAATAAACGAGTGGACAGGGAGGGGGCAAGCCTTTATCTTCTTACTTATAATAGGACAGGGTAATTTTCCAATTAGTTATTTTTGACAGTATTTCAATGAACATAATGAAAATCACGTGTAATTTAAAAATAAAAAAAACTGAGTCAGAAACTAATAAAGTGCTTCTGTGTTTAATATCAAAATAGAAGCCAAATTTAAGCTTACGTTCTTATATTCGTATAAGAAAAATGAGGTAACTTCATAGTGGACGCCACAAAAATGTTTCTGCCATAGTTATGAATGAAAAAATTCAGCGTATCGGTTGGTAGGTTGTCAAGTCATGAATGAGGTAACAGAATAGTTTACAAGTAATTTTAACTAAAGAATTGAAAATGAAATAATGTTCGGTGTATTAAGTGACCTGGTTGCTCTTATCAGTACACAAACCGAATAGGTTCATTGTTTACCGCGATATTTTGGCACATTTTCACCACAATCGGAGGGACTATTTCATAATCGTCAATGAAACCTGGGTCCACCATTGTACTCTCGAAACCAAACAACAGTCTAAAACAATAAATTCACCAAAGATATATGACAATAAGGAATGAAAAATTACTTTTGAGAACAAGAACGTTTATGTAAGCTGAATATTGGGATTTTCATGGAATTATCTTACTCGAACACTTAAACAAAGAAAGATAAAAAAGGAGTGAGTTGCCAATTTGTTGGAACAACTAAGCAATAAAATCAAAGAAATATTTGGTAAAAAAAATGTTTGTCTTTCAGAATAACAAGTCTGCTCACAAATCTGGTGTTGCATTGTATATTCTATATTGTATATTTGTAAATTGGGTTTCAAATTATTTCCTTATTAGCTATATTCCTCAGATGGCTCCCTAGGACTATCACTTGATTACAAACCTAAAAATGGCTCCTCAGTATGAAAACAGCTGTTTAGATGACTTGGATTCATCTACGTACAATGCCATCGTCAATTTAAAATATAGATGGAATATGTGTATTAAGACTCAAGCAGGAGACTGTACTACGTAACAAAATTTCGGTTTTCTTTATTGGGCCATCGAACAACAACATATGTTGATAACAGAAATGTACATTGTATGACAATATAATTTATTTATAGTTGTTTATACCAATATCAAGTTTAATCTTGGAGTATATTTCTATCAATTGTGATCAAAAAACTATTAAGCGAATAGGGAAGGCACGGAAAAAAATAAAGAATATCATTTACAAAACGCATAAATAACGATAAATAATTTAAAATGATAAAATAATTTTTCACCCGGATTATAATTTAAAAATTTAAATTTTATATCCCTTTGTTTTAATCCCCGAAATAGAAATTTCTCGTTCTGAAATTTATTTGATTTTGTAATAAATTTAGTTTAATTATTATGAATTTGTAATATTTATTTTGCAATGGAATTTAAAATACATAATACAAACCCGTTGGCAGCAAAGATTTCTACAGCAGAGAGATTATCTCCAATTGATAGATACATGTCAGCAGCTGCCTTATGTTCGTTAATATTCCTCGCCCAATCTGCTTTTCTCTTTATTAGATCGGTATTGTCATTCGATCCCAAATATTCTTGAGCTTCGTCAAACATACGTAAGTCTGTGTACATAGTTAATGCTTTATACTCGTGTCCTGCGCGTTGGTACATCTTTGCCGCTTCCTTGAGTTTACCTTTATGTGCCAAGATGTCGCCTATCATGACTTCTTTAGGATAGTTACCTAAAAACAAAATCACGAATTATACTACAGTTAGAGTATCGGGAAGAGTATGTTATGGAAACAAAAATCATATATTATTTCGAAAATATACCTTATAATTTATATCTGTATCTAATAAATACTACTGATATTGGATTAGATATTGGATTAGACAGCGAAGTTCCGACGAGATATTTCTTGGTGTTTAATGTATGCTGATGACGATGTGTTAGTATAAACAACTAAAAATCAATAAGTGAAACAGGAACATTGGAGATAGGTACCGGAAAAAAAATTAACAATTTTTTGCACACAAAAATCCTGATTAAGTATCTTATAGATCATTGTCAGGTGTATCATGCCCACTATAATGCGCGGTATACCGATAACATATTTTAGCGATCGAAAGGTCGTTTATTAACAATTTTAATTTATTTTATAAGCCACAATTTGTATATTTCTTAATAGTTGCTTTATTAATTAAAAAACCACTAGGAAACTAAGTTCCTGTAGCTAGCTGTATACCATATATCACAAAAAATTTATTTAAAATACTTTATAAAGGGTATATAATTAAATGCCCAAACGGGCTATCACAAAGATATTGCAAAACGTTTTCGGATTATTAAATCCATCATCAGTGCAAACGAGGTATACATGCTATGAGCCACCAAAATATATGGGTCCAAACCCTTTAAATGATATAAATTTACATTTGCTTTACATTATATGTGGTTACAAATTATGATGTTTAAGTTACCGTCGGAATTGGTAACATGGCGACGTATGACCCTACATAGGTAAAATGGTCCTGAGATGAAGTGTCTTCGAGGACCTGTTGATAACAACTCTTATGAACAGGTCCTCAAAGACACTTCGTCTCAGGACCATTTTACTTATGTAGGGTTATACGTCGCCATGTTACCAATTCCAACGGTAACTTAAACATCATAATTTGTAACCACATATAATGTAAAGCAAATGTAAATTTATATCATTTAAAGGGTTTGGACCATCGAGCAAAAAGACAAAAGAGGGAATGTAAAGGTAGTGGGGGCAAACATATTGTTAGACAGGAAGTGCGATCTTTAGAGGCCACATTAAACAAGGAAAGAGAGTCTCTCTCCTTGTTTGACATCAAATTTAGTTGGGTTATGTTATTGTTTGTCCCAAATGTCACATGAAATCTTACTTATATTGAAGTTTTTTAACAGTTGTGTCGCATTTTAGACTATTATCGTTAATAATTTATTCAAACTTTCTCGTCTAAGACACATTCTGAAAAATATTATATAGCTACTGTTGATAAGTGTCGGAAAATTTAAATTTGGCGCATTCGCATTTCCGGATATGTCCGCCATCAGAGGCCACTTTTTTGGTCTCCTTTTCATAAAGATTAGATTCCCTCTTTTAACTTTTTTGCTCGATGGTTTGGAACCATATATTTTGGTGGCTCATAGCATGTATACCTCGTTTGCACTGATGATGGATTTAATAATCCGAAAACGTTTTGCAATATCTTTGTGATAGCCCGTTTGTGCATTTTATTATATACCTTTTATAAAGGATTTTAAATAAATTTTTTGTGATATATGGTATACAGCCAGCTACAGGAACTTAGTTTCCTAGTGGATTTTTATAAGTTTAATTAGTACAATATTGTTTAACTTATAAACCCATAAAATATAAAACAGTAAAAATACTCTAATACGCAGACGACGCAATATTGATAGCCCAAGATAAAGATAGTTTGCAAAGACTAGTCCACAGATTTAACATAAGAGCAAAATAATTTAATATGACAATCTGATCTTAGAAAACAGTAAGCACCAAAGAACCAATCAGATCTAAAATAGAAATTGATTGGCATCAATATTGAACAAGTAATGGAAAAAAATACCTTGAAATTACACTCTCCAACTCTGGAAACCTGGACAGAGAAGTGAGAGATCAAGTAGAAAAAGCAAATAGATTGGCAGGATGCCTTAATAACACTGTATGGCAAAACATACACATTAACACTGAGATGAAGTCAAGTGTAAGACCAATAATGATATACGCCTCAGAAACCAGACCCGATATAGCCATAATACAAACGGTACTGGAAACGGCAGAGATTAGAGTACTAAGAAGACTTACACGAAATACACTGAGAGATCGAAAGAGAAGTGAAGATGTTAGAATAAAATATAACGTACAGTGTACAAACGAATGGACACTAAATAGAAAAAATAATGAAATAACCACATAAGCAGAATGGGGGAGACGGGATAAATCACCAATCGACAGAAGAGGTATCGGGCGACCGCGGTAAAGATGGAGTGACACTCTTCCATAGAAGTATTAATCCGCTAATGAACAAGCAGAATTGCTTATAAAGAGGAATAAGAACAATATTTATTTCTATAACATATTCAAAATAATTAGACATAGATTAAACATAAATTCGCACTTATGTGTACAACGGCAAAATCAAAAGAGTGTTTATATGTTCATCATCCACCCAATATCGTTGGGACCATGTAAAAATACGCGATAAAAGTAAGATCAAAAATATTGTTTTTACTTAATAATTTTGATAAAAATGTAGAAAAGTTTAAATTCTCAATTTTGTTTTTCTAAATGATAATATAATTATTTATTACCTTTTTGCTGTAAATCTTGAAGATCATCTATTAATTCCAAATAGGTAAAATCCTGTAATCTAACAAATGCCAACCTAGCGATTTTAAAGTCTAGGTGTTCTAAAGCAGCGTGCGCCAACTCTTCCCAATCGCCCTGAGTAACCCCCAAACAAGCAACCTTGTACGCCTCTTCATACATTCGTTTGTCAATGTACTGGTACATGGGTGTACTCAGAGGTAATTCTAAAGTATTCATGCTAAAACCGTTGAGACAGAATACTTTTGATCCTGTCAAACCTACCACGAAACCTCCCATCGTTTGTGTGTGAGCAGGAAAATCTGTGACCTGAAAAGCAAAGTAATTGGTAATTTAACACTATTCAGTACAAAAAGTAACTAGTCATTATGTTTTATTAGCTGTTCAAAATTAGTATAATGTGGGATAAAAATATAAATATCATAAATACATATGGCCGATTAGAACCAGCCAACTCCAACTTGAGTTGACTGGTTCTAATCGTAGGAGAAAGTCGTCCTCCTTTCGAGCAGGGAATATGTACGATTCCTTTATGTGAAATCCTATAATATCGATCGTGTGTCATTATAATTTTACAATTTACTATGGTTGTCATGTAATTAAAGGTTTTTATACCTATTTTGGTAGCTAGTTTCAACTACTTTGAAATGTTTCACTGATGATGGTCCGACAAGACCGAAAATATGGATATATGTGGATACATTTTAAAATAAAAAATGGTCTACAATCGATAATGTCCCAATAAAGAATATGAACTGGATCTTAATGTGAAAAAAAGTAATGGGTAGTTAGTAAACGCGGAATATTAAATACACAGCTTTTGGTGAACCACCAGATAATTGACAGTGTAAACAGCTACACATATCTTGGCACCAACATAAAAAGCCAGTGGGACCACTCCATTCAAATAAAACAACGCATAGAGAAAGCAAGATCGGCATTCGTAGACAGATTTGATGTATTTTCCACCTTATTATACGGAGTAAACGTTATGACATTTTTTGAAGCTTCTTTAGGAAAACTCGGAGCCTGTGGGAGGATCGTATGACGAATATTAAAGTTTTACGTAGAATAGCTAAGGAATGCGAGATTATTCACACAATCAAAAAGTGCAAACTGAAATATGTGAGCCAGATTATGAAAAATGACCAGAGATATGATTTGTTACAACCCATTCTTCAGGGCAAGATTTTTAGAAAGAGGACCAGAGAGAAGAATATCTTGGCTTCAAAACTTGAGAACGTTGTTCAATAAATCTACAATCGGACTATTCCGAATAGCTGCCACCAATGTTAGGATAGCCATGTTCGTGACCAACATCCGGAACGGATAGACATCGTTAGAAGATATTACTTGCAATGATAATGATAGTTAGCAAAAGAATGACGAACTTTTGATATGCGACGATACCCTAATGTTGGCCTGCTCAGAAGAGGAATTGCTCCTAACTCGGCTTCAGCTGGTAACCAGCTTACTCAGCTGTTCATCTACTCAGTTACCAGCTGAAGTCCGTTTGAAGAGGTCTACTCTCCGGACGCTGGTACTCACGTAAGGCATGGGTGTATGTTACCTGAAGTAAAATATAATAAAATATTAAACATAAATTATTATTAACAACAATATGTACAATCTTTGGTAACCTTATTTAAAGGGTTTTTACCCTAATATTTTGGTGGCTCAGGCATGTTAACCTACTTTTTAACCTGATGATATAATTATTATTCCGAAAACGTTCGTGTTAATTTGATGTAGCCCTTTTAAGGGTTTTTTTTAAATATGTATACCCATTTACAAAGATTTAACCGCTTTTTTGAAATATTTATTTGGCGTTTTCACTTCTAGACCTGATCCATATTTGAAAAAACCATATTGGTTTATTCTCAAAAATTTATTAAAAAACAAAAAAAGCAAAAACAAACAAAAACTGTCAACGTACTCGACACATGCTTATAATCATTATAAAACTTAGATCATTTTACCTTAATAGATAAAGTGTTGTCCCCACTATACGCCAACATATCTTCATACAAATTGTTAAAAGAGACACTGTTCGCATTGGCTTCTTGAAAAAGAAGTTCACCTGTTTCGAAGTTAAATATTTGGCACAACCCGGAATCATCTACCACCGCAAGTTTCTCGCTAAGTTGACTTAGGTCTAAACATCTAATGCCTTCATTCACTGTAACCTTAGAAAAAAATATTATTTGTAAAAGTAAAACATTATGGAGTTTTAAAACTAAAGTTGGAAAAATAAATAATTATGATGAAAGCCACAATAACTGAAAAAATACAAGTTCCACGTTATTTAAATTGTCCTTCAACCTGTGATACTATATAATAGCGATATAGTCATCTTTATTTTATATTAGCTCTTACTATGCTGGTCTCACTGGTTTTTTTCAGGTTTATGCGACGTTCCAATTTCACTATTTTTATGGGCAATTATGCCTTTCTCAAACTTTCTTCTCTTAAATCACATATTGAATTCTAGTTTATCACAATAATTTATTGGGTCTTAATGACATTCCTTTTTTAATTTTTTAAAACTTTATTCTTATTAACCTTGTATGATATTTCAGTTCAGTCTTAGGTTACGTAGGTCTGTGGAGGTTAGAGTATTCAAATCCTTGTAATGTTTATAAATATTTAAATATAAATATGTTCTAGTCAAAGCTAATTATTTTTTTATTTCCAGTTTCTATTATTTTGTCCATGACAACAGGGAAAATATAAGAGTTTAGATTTTTATTAAATTATCTAACCTACATCTATATACGAATTTATTCAGTGTTTATTATTCTATGATTTATTCGTTTTTATATTAACATGTCGCGCTACTGTCTCTTTTATTTTATCATCTTATCTATTTTAATGGGATCGAGAATTTCCATACGTGAGAATATAGTTTTTATGAATATGTTTGTATTTTTTCTAAATAAAAGAATTTTTTATAGAAATTAACACTCAGACCCCCCGATTTTTTTTTATCGTCTCCCATTCGGATTGTTGAGCAGATGGGCATATGAAGCAGGAGATTTTTTATCTCCTGCTTCATATTTCGCCTTCATTTGCAGTTATTTCCTCTTCATATTTCTTTCTATTATCTAAATTGTGCAATTTATTGACATTAGTTTTTATGTTTCGGGTAACTTTTTGTCTTATAGTGGCGGTGACCATATAGTGGTCTGAATCTGCCACGCACATCTTGTTCTCACATCCTTCATTGATAATTATTTTATCTTGTGAATCAGTATGTTATCAATTTAACTGTACATTTTCTGATTTAGTGACCGTTTATGTATTTTAGAGTGTTTAAATTTTATTGAGCTTATTATCATGTTGGTTCTTGTTGCTAAATTACATAGCCTTAGGCCATTTTCATATTTGTTTTTGTGTTCTTCATGCTTTCCTGCCATTTGTTGTAAAAAATCTTCTTTTAAAATCTGGGCGTTGAAGTCTTTTAGTACAAAATTATAACATCTTCATTGGATATTTTTTCTTCATCTCTTTTTCTACATTAACATAAAAAATTAGGCACTGATTTAGCAAGTTACAATATAATAAAACTAAATACAACGCAATATAAATTATAAATAATCCAATCATTACTGTCTGAAAGAAATAGTATATAAAGTTAAACTGACCTTCAACGCTGCATGTATATTATCTAAATGGACTTCCCACACTTGACCATTTTTTAATCCCAACAGTAAACCTTCCATTCCAGGTGGGCCACCGATGTTTTTAATGTAACGAATAGGACTCTCGAAGTTCCAAACCTTTTCCTTTTCTCCTGAGAAGAACATACTCTGAAGAGTCTTTTCTTGGCATATTACCAGGTGTTCTGAACATACTACCAACAAGCTACATTCCAGTCTTTGCGTTATTTTCTCTTTGGCTCTATAGTGCATGTCGTTGGAGTCCTTTGAATACAGTTCATAAATTACTACCCTTTCGGGTAATTGCACCTAAAAAAATATATAAAAACTTCAAATAGGTATCCTACTTTCTTGAAAACCTTGAAAGAATAAGAGTGTATTAGGCAAACACATGTTTTTATTTCCCTTACTCAAAAGTTAAGATCAACTTACAATATCAGAGATATTGTAAGTAGGGTCTACTAGTTGTTAAGTGATGAGGCGTATAAGAAGCAACAACGAAGTAAGCTTTATGAAAATCGAAGCAGCCAAGCTAACATGGAAACAATTTCACAAGTAAAATCAGAACCGTGTCCAATATAGACTGTAGCAATAAGTAATATAACGTGTCTATAATAATTAATAAAACATAATCCATTGCCGCTACAGTTATTTTTACATCTAAATAGATTTTGATACTAGTGACACCTTACTCGATATGTAGGATATGATCTATTATTCGATGTGTAGGATTTTGTTTTTGTTTGTTTTCAAAAATGGTAAATTGCATTAACCAAAATTAACAAACTTTGTGACAATAGCCTAGTGGCAGGTTAAATGAATAGGACTTGACATGAGATTGTAATTTAAAAAGGACCGTTGATAAATGTTTAGTCAAAATTTGTGTTGTGTCAATCGCGATTAATTCGTTCGTTTTGATTCAATCACTTCCAAGTATTGAACGACCGAATCCCCTAGTTCATAACGATCGAATTGTATGGTGACAAAAATCTATTGATCGACGGCCGACGGAGCCGATCGAGATTGAACCAAAACAAAATTGCACCAAAACAAAATTGCACAGGCAATACTTTCATTACTTTCGGTCCTCGGTCGTTCCTCACTTGCGACGAGGACCGATATATGCCATGCGGCTCAATGACTGCGTTCGTTTGAATGATTGAAAACTTAAATTACTATATATATTGAAAGACAGCGAGTTAGCTACAAACTGGGATTATTGGAGTTGAAAAATATTCTATCACGCCCAACCGATTGCTTTCGCTTGTGTTGTTAATAGTTATTAGATAGTTAAAATCATAAAATATCGAAAAATTAAAATTTGCACAATGACAATAAATATTTATATTTGATGCAGAACATATTTCCACATAAGTTTACAATTATTTCTAAGTTACACTAAGAACCTAAAAACTCTCTCAAATATTTCTTCTAGAATCTAAGCTACGCCCTACTCGCACAAACATAAATGTATGAAGGACAATGAAGTGAATACACATATAAGAAATACAGTAAGCAATACTACTGGTTTTCAGTCGAAAAGTATTGAAACGAACGAACGAATGAAATGATTCGATCGTTTTCAGAGTCAGTCACTGACTGATTCGATCCTTGTAAAATTAACGATTGACACAACACTAGAAATAACAAAAAAAAGAGAATAAAAGAAAAATAAACACTGAATACACTTAGTGTACGAAAAATTATTTTTCTGCAAATTAGCTACATAAATATCTTACCGCTAAACGATCTGTGTATATTGCTATCTTCTTAATAAGATCTCGACATTTAATCCTAACTTTTTGTTCAGTAATGAGATGTTGGATTATGATATCAGTCATATTTTCTCTAAACGCATATCTTTCTCTAAACAATCCATGTACCATATTAAAAACTAATTGGTAATATGCAACAGTTCCATCTTCACAACCTATAGCCTAAAAAAATTATATTTTAATATAATGGATTGTAGACTTACACGCCAAATGGGCGCTATCAATAAAGTGTACAGTGCCAGCAAAAAAAGATCTGTCACACAGTGAATAAAACACATAAATCAGGATAATTGTTATTTTAATTTTACAAATTAATACTTTGTCATATCACCCTTGTAGTCAATCACAATATGGATTCTCTTGGGTATAGATTAAGCAAGATTCAAGAAATACTTTTCTTCCATGGTCACCCAAAACCTCTTCAACTCCTCTTTCAGCTGATTTATGTTGCTCGGTCGACAATCTTGAACCTTATTTTTCATAAAGCACCAACTTTCTCCTGTTGTGTGTTTATTTCGACCCATATTTTTCAAAATTTAGAATTTAACGATCCCAAACTTTACGGAGTAAATAAAAATAAGTTTAACACTGACTACGCACAAATGTACAGTAGAAACACGCAGAATAAACTAAAGAAACTAAGCAGTCAGTAAACTATAGATAGCCGCGTTTTGCCACGTCGAAAGTAAGTTATCCCCTCTCCCTTCAAATGCTAAACAAGCGCAGGCAGAACGCATGTAATTTTTCTTCGAACTTACTGATTTATTTGGCAATGTAAAGATTTTTATATAATAGAGTTCAGGAAAAATATATTTGTCTTAAATAATACAATATTACTCAATATTTACATATTGAGTCAATACAAATATTGTATAATTACTTATCCGTTTTGTAACTATATGTAAAGTGTTTTTCTTCTTAAAGTGCCCTCTACTCAATGGAGGTTGGCTACTACAATTGCAAACTCTTTTCTGTCTTCAGCTCTTCTTATTAGCTGTTCAATATTTAGTCCTGGCCATTGTCGGATGTTTCTTAGCCACAATAGTCTTTTCCTTCCTAGTCCTCTCTTTCTTTCAGTCTTTCCTTTCACTATGTAAAATGTTATCATTCTTAAATACAAGCTTACGCTGTATAAGCATTGTTGTAAATGCAAAAATTCACTTTTATATTCCATTGGGGAATTAAAACAAACGTGGACGTCGTTGATTCAAGATTTGCATTACTTCTTTCCTAACTATTTAATCTTGAAAAGCACATGTCACTTATCCCAAATTACAATAATGCATTTAGTTCCAGCCTTATTACCCCTAGCAATAAATGGCACAAACTAAACCAATTTTTGTCGTAATTGTATAGCAGCCCATGTCTGGCTACTATTTATACTGACTGCATATAAATAGTACACGCGAAATATATAGCATACTTCTGACGGCGAGATAGCGAACTGTGCGCAGTTTCAAGCCTATTCTTATCGACATATTGAACAATTTGAAAAATTATTCACTATACCTAAGGTAATTTTTGTGCTTAAAACGTTTTTCACTGCGACAAAAAAAGGAAATTCATTGTGTTGTGTCTCTTGAAAACTCCAAAAAGGAATTCCGATATTATGGTAGGTACACTAGTTCTAGAGTCATTAGTTATTTTTGTAGATATGGATCAGCAACTATGTATAATAATGTTGCCTTTTATTAAGTACCAGTTTTATAATAATTTTCAGATATTTGACATTTTGAAGATTCATAAGTCTTGTACAAAAGTCATTGACTGATACAACATTTGCATTGATTTGTTAGACATGCCAAGCGGAAGAATGGTATCCCATTTTAAAATTTGATTTTATCAAATTGTTTATCAAAGTAAAAATAGATTACTTTATTACTTACAAAAGTTTGGCTACTTTTCTAATATATTTATATTAATAATGAATAACGACAATATCGAAATATATGGTCATTACAGTATTGCCAATTTTACACTAATATATAATAATTTTCCATCTCAACTGTATTTTAATTTTTTGTGCTGAAACAATTTCGTTCTACCTTTTACATGATTTTCATTAATCCATTTAAACAATTTTAATACCCATAGAGAATACTATATACTTACTACAAAATTTCCGCTAGGGTGAGCTTCACAACACCACACCCAGGAATTCTGCATTTCACCAATACATCCTAGTTTAATTCCTTCTTTAGTATACATTGTACACGCCATATTTAAACCTCCAATTAAAATGAATTCTCCTTGAGCAAAATATCTGACTCTCAAAGCTTCATATCCAATATGTCTCTCCTTCCCAACTAGTTTACCACCTAATCAATCAGAAAACTTTGTATTACTTTTAAAACATATTTTTAGCTGATATTTAATCTACATATAAAATATACTAATACATATTATGGATATAAAGATAATAAATTAAAAGGTTTTCATGTTTCTAGTCTGAGAACGTACGGTTTATTTGAGGTGTACACTTCAATTTAGTTTCTATAATAATCTTGTAACACGAGAGGCACTATTCAGCGTGCAAGTGCTGGTTCAAAGGTGTAGAGATGTTAATCATCATGTGCGCATGTGTTTTGTAGACTTTGAGAAAGCATTTGATAAAGTTATTCATGAAAAACTGATAAAAATTCGTGGACGAGTAGCAATAAACAACAAATAATTAGACAAAGTCTCTACTATCACCAGCAAGCAAATGTTTGGCCTAGCTGACTTCTGAATTGAATGAATGAATCTTGTTACGACTGCTTATTCATCTATACTCCAAGTATATTCTCAAAGAGGCACTTGCCAGGGTTAATATCGGTATCACTGTTAACAGAATTAAGATCAGTGATCTGAGATATGCGGATGATACTGTGTTGCTTGCGAGTGGTGCAGAAGAACGACAGTTATTATTTGACAGTGTTACTGGAGAATTCGAAGAATACGGTTTAAAACTTAATACTTTAAAAACTTAATATATTATTGTAGTCTATGACTACATAATCACAGCATATGGTACTGAAATAAAAAAAAAAGAGAACAGAGCTTATCTCGGTTCAAAAATATAAATGACAATTGGAATATGAGCAAAAAAAAATAAAAATCTGCATTGAAAAGGCTAGAGCAGTGTTTTTCCTCGTCAAATATTACATCTTCTCGACATTGTTGTATCGAATTAAAAGCTGGACACTCACTAAGTCGCTATTAAGTAAACTTCAAGCTTTCGAAATGTGGGTGTATCGAAGGCTGCTATGCATAAGCTGGGTTAACAAAGTGAGTTAACAGAGTGACAAATGAGGAGGTATTACAATGTTTAAAAAACAACCCAAAGTAGTGAAAACCGTAGAAATATGAAAATTGGAGTATTTTGCTCATGTCATGCGACACCCAGAATATTATGGTGTCCTCCATCTTATAATTCAAAGCAAAATATGTGAAAAGAGGGGTCCCGGTCGTAGAAGAGCATCATGGTAATCTACGTAAGTGGTTTAATCAATCTTCGTCGTCCCTCTTTATCGTTTTAATATAAAAATGTAATATTGTTCTGAAGCTATTTTCTTGTGGCATTTTAAAGTAATTACTATTTAACTGGGAATAAGCCAAAATAAAAGTTTAAAGTAGGTTTATTGACGTTTTAATTTCAACTTCGGAAATCGTTCTCAAAATACAAACATTAGTAAATTAATTAAAAAAAAAAACAAAATTTGTTTAATTTACTAATGTTTGTCTTTTGAGAACGATTTCCGAAGTGGAAATTAAAACGTCAATAAACCTATTTTAATCTTTAATTTTGGCTTATTCCCAGTTAAATAGTAATTACTTTAAAATGCCACAAGAAAATAGCTTCAGAACAATATTACATGTTTATATTAAAACGATGACATGAGTTCTGCGATATTGCAGTTTTAAATTATGTATGTGTCATAATTGCGTTAATAAACTTACACATAACAAATTTTTGTTATAACAAAGGGATTATTTACATTTTCTGGGTTCTGATTGCGTCGAGGCTTTACTCACGTGAGATTTTAATTCTCTTGTATTTATTTATTCATCTAATAAGATATTTTATGAAAACTATGTATGTATGTTTAACTGTGAACCGTTAAACAACATGTTAAAGAATGATCAGAGCATTGTGTTACAGAAAACAGTTAAAAAAATGTATTTGGTATATGTACATATTTCAAAAAATACGTTCGTCATTGTTATAATTGCAATATTTTAAAAATCATTTTAAAGTAAAAATCTAACATTAATAATACATTAAATTATTAAACACAAAAAAGAAGATAAATAATTTTTACAAATGAGTCCTATGCATTGCATTACAGTTTGAGGGGATCGTATTCATCCCTGTTTTGAGTTTCCTTTGAGGGCAGAACTATATCTTGCAGGAAAATGATTTTAACAATAATAATAGTCCCCCCTTTATAACGCTAGCACAGCTTTGGGATTATAGCAGGGTAGTCCGCTATCAATTGGACCTACGGTATACAAGAAAGGTAACAGGGTCAGTGCTACTCTTCAACAGACTCTTATTACCAATGGTTTTACCTAAAGTACTCCTTTTATTCAGGCTGAGTCGACCTGGGACCAGCAGATATTTTAAAAATATCTAAATGTTTTTGGCGTTACTGGGGATAGATCCCCGGCCTTGTGCATGATAATCGCGACACTATAACGCCCGAGCTATCCAGCTACTGGAGATGATTTTAAAAATTGTAAATACATAATTTAGAGAAGCATTATTATGTAAATTTAGTGAACGAGTTCATTAAACTATACGATTAAAACCATCTGCTGTTTTTTTGGCTGTCGTAGTGTTGACCACCAGGTTCAGTTCCCAGTCGCTTTTAGAGCTGAAAGTGGAATCATAGCTACCAGTGTTGCCACATTTAATACTTATATCTAATAGCCTTTACCCAATTAGAAAACTAACGCCTTATATTTCAATTAAAAGTAAAGTTGCGCAATGTTATGCGGACATGACAAACTCTTCTCACAGACCGAATATTCACATTAGACTAACATGATAAATTCAAACACTCACTACGACACTACGATAAGGGTAACAATGTACCTAATGTGTAAAACGATAAATTCTTGTTCCAATCTGTTACACATAAGGTATCAGTGGGATCATCTTTGTTGGGACACCAGCTTAATGCCCAAATAGCAGGATTGTTTGGTCTTTCAATTTTATGTTTTTCTTCACCCTGCTTGTTTCTGATTGATATCGTTCCGTTACTACATCCCAGAGCTAGGTATTGACCATCGTTTGTCCAGGAACATGAATTTATTCGAACCTAAAATAATAAAGTTATTGGTTTAGTGAGAATTATCTTATCTGTACATATATTGACTGTTTAATACTCTACACACATATTGTGTTACCATGTAAAATATTTTTTACGTTAGCTTTTTTAAAAAATTTCCATTTTGAGACATAGCGGTATTTTTCAAAGTTAAGCAATCCTTTTGTGGGGTTAATGTTAAAACCCTGCACTTACGGAAACACGGAATGGGTTACAGGTACCTGAGGAAAAAGGCGCCCAATAACATCGAAAACAAGACATGTTAACGCAAATAAGTAGTATTAACTAAAGTAAAAGGATATCGGTATTAATCGCACACAAAGATTATGAAAAAATTAAAGCCAATGAAAGCAGTGAAATTTATCGATTTTCATCATGCGACATAGTCAAGTAAAAAAGTTACATACGTAAAATAAACTTGGAAAAGGTTCGCTACAAGATAAAATAAACCATTTTGTGGTAAACAACTAATATTAACCACATAGGAAGCTAATTTTATTTCATCGCGTTAATATCTCTCCTTGTTTTATACGTTATTGGCCTTTACATTTTTCTCAGGTTCTGAAATTTGAAGGATAAGTTTATGCATAAAATAAAAAATCATTAGATGTGTCAAGTCTATCCCACCTACACTATTAAGTTGATGTCCTTAAACAATACCTAAATAATTGCAAATTCCAAAAAGTCAAAATAATAAAAGTAGACTTGGCAAATATGCAAAAAAAAGTAAAGAATATGCGCATAAATATGCACTAATCTACCCGAAAATATGCATTATATATGCATTTTTTAGAAAATATGTCAAGAGAAACATATATTTAATAATGGTATATTAATTATTGTTTATTTTTATAATTAAAAAATATTATAAACAAATTTAAAAACTAAGTAGGTAATTGTAATGTACTAATTAATTATACTGAAAGTAGTAAAAAAGTAAAATACTATTCCTTACAATTATGTAAACAATAAATAGGCCAATTTATTAAAGGTATCTTAGTCAGATAGGTGGTAGTGACTGATGTAACAACTCCAAACATACTGACTGATGTAACACACTCCAAAATGTGTCTGATGTAACAATCTGCCGTTAAACCTCCTTCACATCCTCCACCAGGCACGAAAACCAACTCCGTTTTACCATCCATGGAAATACCCAAATTCCCAAAACATACAAGAATCGCCTCCATATGACACCATTTCTCGTATACAACATTGAGCAAATCGCTCTCCTGGCCTTCTATAGACTCGGCGCTCCTTGTCGTTGCCATGTAGCAGATCCTACTTTCGTCGGAGGATAATACCTGATTCCATTGATAGTCGTCCCAATACAGATGTTCGCGAGCAAATTCAAATCGCCTTTCCTTCTGATCTGCAGTTAGCTTGGGACCTGTAGCTGCCCTTTTTTGGTGTCAGGTTGGCTGCTTTCAGTTTCCTTCTGACTCGAAACGCTGTTAACCACACCTTGGACCTATCTAAGCTCTTTTTTGAGATTACCACCAGTTAAATGTCGATTTCACAGAGATTTAGATACAAGAAATCGATCATTTCTCTCCGTTGTTATTCGTTTATGGCCTCTTCCTTGTCGGCGGACATAATCACCAGTATCTTGGTACCGACGATATACTCGGGACACAGCAGATTTTCTTAAATTTAGTGTATTTGTCACGGCCCTCTGGCTCAAGTCTTCTCTCAATAATGCTACTGTTAGAGCTGCTTTCACGGATGTGGTATCCATTTGTTATGCAGTTGCGAACTTAAGTGACTGATGTATTAGTGGGTTGCTATAGAAATTGATGCTTACGATGTTAACCAAACGCGTTAAATCGGTGAGTGTCGATTTCAATGAGTCAAATTCTAACGCGTCGCGTTATTTATTTGTAATACGTCACCTGATTTACCAAACAACAAAACTTTTTTTCAAATTTAATAATGAGGTAAATAATTGTGCACTAAATATTTTTAAATGTACACTTTTTAGATTGAAACAGGGGACGTACTTTTGCAAAATAATTTTGAGTCGATTTTTTTGCACTCAGGTGTATATTTGTAAATTAAAAAACTTCTTTCCACATCAACGGATGTAATGGGAGCATATATTAAATTCACAAAAATATTGGGTTCTAAATCTTCTTCTTACGGTGCCTTATCCTTAAGGACGTTGGCCATTACATTTGCCCATTTAATCTTATTTGTAGCTGTCCTGAATAGTTCTATGGAGGTCATGTTCGTCCATTGCCGTAGGTTTTTAAGCCAAGAGTTGCGTCTTCTTCCTGGTCCTCTTTTGCTATTGACTTTGCCTTCGATTATAAGTTGGAGCAGTTCATACTTTTGATTTCTTATGATGTGACCAAAATATTGTGTGTTTCCGTTCTTTTATTATAAGCATAAGCTCTCTTTCCTTATTCATCCTCCGCAAGACTTCCGCATTTGTCGTATGGCTCATGTAGGATATTCTGAGCATTTTACGGTAACACCAGAGTTCGAATGCTTGGATTCTTTTTTGTGTTGCTTCTGTCATTGTCCAGGCTTCAACACCATACAGCAAGGTGGAGAAAATATAGCACTTAAGTATTCTAGTTCTCAATGAGATGCCCAGCTGGCGGTTGCATAGAACTTTTTGCATTTTGTAAAACATTGTACGTGCCTTTTCCAGGCGTATTCTTATCTCTAGTGAATGGTCCCAAGTTTCAAGATTACTTCCAAGGTACGTTGTTCTTGTTACTCTTTCCAGATCTGTTCCGTCGACATTGACCTTCACCCTTCTGTTTTGGTGCTTGCTCCATGGTTTTTGTCTTCTTTGTATTCAATTTCATTCCAAATTCTCTACAGGCTGTTGTTACTCGGTCCATTAAGCGTTGCAGGGCTTCAGCATTATCTGCCAGTATGACAGTGTCATCAGCATATCGCAGGTTATTTATACATTGCCCGTTTATAATTATACCATCCGAGGTGCCTTCCAAAGCTTTCTGAAATATCTTCTCAGAGTAAACATTGAACAGCAAAGATGATAGGACACATCCCTGTCTTACTACCTTCTCGATATTGATTTTTCCAGATGTTTCGATTTTTATTCTGATTTTAGCCTTTTGTTCTTGGTAGAGGTTTGAAATGATCCTTAAGTCTTTATCGTCGATATTACATGACCTTAAAATATTTATTAGTTTATCATGTTTCACCAGGTCAAACGCCTTCTGAAAGTCTATAAAACAGAAGTATACATCAGAATCGACATCTCTACATCTTTCAACTAGCACACGTATTGAAAAAAGTGCTTCTCTTGTTCCGAACCCATTCTTAAAACCAAACTGAGTTTGACCAGTGTGTTTGTCTAGTTTATTGTATACTCTATTGTGTATTACTCGTAGGAAAAGCTTCAACATATGATTCATCAAGCTAATAATCCTATGGTCTTCACATTTCTTGGAGTTTCTCTTCTTTGGTAGTGGTATAAACACCGATGTCAGCCAATCATTTGGTATTATGCCTGTTTCGTATATTTTGTTAAATATATTTTCCATTACTTCGATGTGTTCGTCTAGTAATATCTTTATTATTTCAATTGGGATATTATCTTCCCCAACAGCTTTTCCGTTCTTTATCTGATTTGCCGCTTTGATAATTTCTTGCTTTGTGATATAAGGTCCAGTCGATGCCTCCTGCATGTAAATGTTCGTCCTCTCTCGGTCTTGAAACATCTCTTCCACGTATTCTCTCCATCTACCTGTTTGAGATTTTAAATTTAGATTTCAAAAATCTAATAGATACAACATAAAAAAAACTCATTGTGCCCAAGACTATGATGTAGTGCATTAAAGTCCTTCCCCCCTTTTAAATTCAATGTTTGTTTCGTCCCTTCTAAGTGTTTTCTGTTTTAGTGTGTTTAAATTTTCCTTAATTGTCTGTATTTTAACATTTTATTTACTTGACTATTCCAATAATTAACTCATTGCCAATAGAACTTTATCAAAGTAATTTGTTAACTACAAGTTGTGAAAATAATTGCACACCCACACAATCTTTACATCTACACCTATTCATTGTCATAAAACTGTCACCTTCAAAAAACAATTACTCAATAAATAACACACATTTCAAAAATATATCTCTGGAATAAGTATAAATAGCCTTTAATAACACAATAGTATATTACATCACTTACATTTAACAAACAATCTCACACATATCTCTAATTCATTGGATCAAATCTATCTCCTCAAGAACTTCCCGTTTACTGTCAAACAACTGCAGTGATAGAATTGAGTTCTCCATTCAACAATATAAAGTAGTTTCAATCATGTTCTACCATCCATCTATTAATAGAGTACCGGCATCATTTGTTTAACTTTGTATCGAGACCTGAGGATGCTTTGCATATTGTAGAAAGCGAAACCGGTCGTCTGATAGTTAAATTAAATTGATTGTGAGTAAGTCTTATTTATTATTTCTTTACCTATTTGAAATGGACTCACACAAGCAACACATTCATGATTTTATATTTTTTAAATCTACGAAATAGTCTGAATAGAAAAAAGCGGCTTCCAACCATGTTTCCCTTCATCTTAGAACAGGTTCTGGTAGAAGTGAAATATTTGGAAGCATTTCTTTATAAAGTTGAATTCTTATAGAAGATTTGAGGAATATTTTTTTTAAACATGATATCACGAAGTTAAGAAAAGGAAACTTTTTCTAATTTCTTCCTCTACTCTGTTCATTCCATGTGCTAATCAAGTAACGTGTATTAAGTTGGTATAAAATATTTTTAAATTTTGTCCTGCCTTGACCATATATGTTGCAGGATCGGATAAAAAGCAATAATTTATGGCTAGGAACAGCAGCAGAAAGAAAAAAATTATTATTTCTTCTTGTACAAAACGTGGTGTTGTTGCAGAGTTGTTTTTTCTCATTGCTTGCATGAAATTAAATAGGATTTTGGTAAGATCTGATTGTTTAGAAGACCAACCATTAAATGAGCGATATATCTTTCTGACGAATCAGTGGTTTCGTCAACACACTTCTTCTTTAAGTGCCATCTCCGCGACGAAAGTTGGCAATCATCATGGCTATTCTGACCTTCGAGGCAGCTGCTCTGAACAATTGCCTTGAGCTGCAATCAAACCACTCTCTCAGGTTCTTCAACCAGGAAACGCGTCTTCTTCCTACTTCTCCTACCCTCTATTTTTCCATGAATTATGAGTCTCAAGATGTTGAATCTTTCGCCTCTCATTACATGTCCGAGATATTGCAAATTTCCTTTCTTTTATTGTATTTTCCATTTCCCTCTCTCTGCCTATTCTCCTTAACACTTCTGCATTCGTGACTCTATCTACCCACAACAAACACATAGTACTAATTGTCACTAATATTAGTTTTTATAGTATATATTACTGGCGAGTACAACGAGTTAAGGTGGTTTCTCTTTAGAATTCTTTCACTTGGAATATTCAATTTACAATATTTTTTTTAAAAAGAAGTTGAGTTTCATTGGACAATTTTTGAAGCGCTAAATTTGAAGAGATTCTATCTATAATTTCTCTTCGCATGCAACTTGTAATAGATTTTTTAATACAGTTAGAACCGATTTCTTTATTATCTTAAACTGAATGCATCAATAGAAGAAATTCCATTCAAGTAATTGCACGATTATTGCATGGAGGTCACTGATATTTTAGCAATACTTAAAATACTTATTTTGTAATAAAATATACATAAATAAGTATTGGTATGATATTAAACTTTAATTATATTATTTATGTTTAATTAACGTTTATTTATGCAATCATTAAAATATTTAAAATAACATTATATATAGAAAAGTATTAAAAATTTAGTACCTACAATTTTGCCACAAACTGAACAATAAACTTTGTCCATATCCATAGATAGATAACTCTTTGTAAGGTTTAATCCAAGTAGCGATACTATAAGTGTCGCTATTAGTGAAATATTTAACAAATGAAACAAGCTCGACTAACTTTTTACTGAGTTTTTACTTTTACTTTTGAGAACAAAATGATTTGGAAAAGGAGAATTCAATTCATACTTTTGCACGCAATAAACTTTTGAAACACTCTTTCATTGCGGGATTATAATGAGTTACCTGCTACAATAATACCAAGAATATTAGGTAGTATCTATAGGTACTATTGGTAATATTGAAGACTGAAATATTAAAATAAAACATTGAACATTGGAATTTTTAGTTACTCATTCATACTATTATCTACGGATAGATAAATATTATTTAAAATCCGCAATTCGAAGTAAATTGAAGTTTATGCATTTTATGCAATTTTTTATATAAATATGCAATATACGCATTTTGCATATTTGTCTAAGTCTAGTAATAAGTTTCAATATAGTTAGTTTCTAAACAAAAAAATAGTTACTTACATTTACTTTGTGCTTCTGCACAGATTTTTGTTCAGTACTCCAAAATGCAAAATCTGATAAGGCACAGGACGCCAACGTATGTGACAGTGGATTAAATGCCAAACATTGCACCGAATCGCCATGACTGTACTTAAGTAGCCCTTCCAATTTGTTTGACCAAATGATAACTGTCTTGTCTGCGCTACCACTAGCGAACTTTTCGCCATTCCTTGCGTAACATACAGCATGTACTTTATCTTTGTGACCCTTCAATAATTGCACCAAAGTACCATCATTGGTGTCATATACCAAAACGTGGTTTCCACCTGCAACAATCAGTTGGGTGCCATCGGGTTTAAAGCAGAGGTCATATATACTAAAAAACAAGAAAATAGATATAAAACTATGTATGTGATTATTACATTACATTACAACCAAACTTATATGAAATAAACTGATATTTCTGATTTTAAATTTTAGAAAAACATCATACGACAAAATTTCAATGTTAAATCAATAATGTTTAAATTGTTTTTAATTATTATGTTTTTGTTAGTAGTCAGTGTTACCACCCCTAGCCTTTATGCAAAATTCAGTTCGCGTTGGCATGCTGCTAAACAAATTATCAACATTTTGTTGTGGTAGGTTGTTCCATTCTTCAAGAGCAGCTTATATTAGCTGGGCGAAGTTTTGTGGATTATCCCGGTGAGCTCTATTTGTTTTGTTAAGCATATCCCACGACACAGAGCAACTCGTTTTAACTGAAAAGTACCTCGTGTTAAAAACCGAGCAGGGAGACATGTAGTCCCTAAAGTAATAAATTTTATCCAATGTCATCGACCTAGAGTCACAACATAATTTAAATTTGGATTGATGTAAACCCATATATGAATGCCACAGCCACAACTTTATTGTTAGATTCAACTACATAAGGCACTGAGGATGATCTGATTAGATCGAAAACGTTATGCTACTATATAAATTTTGACGACACTTTTTAAAAAGTTTTAACTATATGTTTTTATACCAAAATACAATTGTGAAGTGTTTTAACTTCTGTATGTTTTTTAAACGATGGTATACAGCCAACTACTGAGATTTTCCCAATAATTTTTTTAAATTGTTTAATGTTAAACTGAAATCCCACATTTCTGACGAAATCTCACTGATTTAAGTGTGTCTCGTGGAGCATATATAAATTAGTGAAAAAAATATTTCTTGTAATGTTATTTTGCTTCCTTGTAAAATAAAATAATATTAATACACGAATATTTTTTAATACGTCTATTTTCTAGGCCAGGACACTTCTTCAGAAACATATATTCGATAAACATATACGCGACATGCTCTGGGTCATATATTTTAAGAACTTCCGCATACACACTTGACAGGTTGTCTGTAGCCTGTCTACAATGCAATAGGTACGTGAGTGGTCCCAGAAGTACCCGACCCAACAAAGAAAACAAAATAAAGTGTTATTTATTTTCAACATAATCTCTCCCTTTCAATTATATAACTTTTCCCAGCAATGTTCAATAAGTTTGATAATCTTTTTATAATAAGAACTGTCTACCTCCACAAAATAACACATTTGTAAAATCTTTTACTACTGTTTTTTTATTACCACGGTTTTTGCTTAATTTCTTCGCACAAATGTTGCAATAAGTTCGTATAATAATCGCCGTTGATAGTTTCTACTTTTTCATGATATTCAATTAAAATGATTCCAAGCGCATCCCAAAAAACCGTCGCCTGCAGATGAAAAGGGTTTCGCTTCGATGCGGTTTCTACCTTTTGAGACCATTGTTTTAATTTTTCTTTTGTCTCGGGTGTGAAGTGATGGACCCATGTTTCATCCATGGGTCTATATGAACTGGCACAAAAAATCTGCTTTGTTGCTATGAAACTGTGAATCACTCCATTGAAACAATTTCAGGGCACCGCTTTGCTCGAGTGTGAGCAAACATGACAACTGTATTGTATAAACACCTTTATATATAATGTATGCACACCTTTCTCATGTCCAAAATTTCAGTTAATATATGATATACCGCAATTTCTGAAATGCCTAATACGTCTGCTAGTTCGCGCATTTAACCTACGATCATTCAGTATGTGCCAATACGTGCAAATTTTCTTCACCATGTCTGCAGTCTTCACCTCATTTGATCGATCGAGGTCTTTCAAATAAAGTATTGTATCACATAAAAATGAGCAATTTTCTCAATTTTCATTGAAAACATTCACTATTAATGACTGCCAAATAAATATTAAACAACGTGGCGCCTTAAAACTTTAAACCTATGTTTTATAGATTGTGTACTTTTTAATACAGTGATATTTTTCAAACAACTAGAGTCCGACAAACTTAAGTTTGGGAATGTGACGTAGTGTTTCGCGCAGATGGGCGGACCGTCTCTACCAGTGGCGGATGGAAACCGGTAGCTTTAAAATAAATTTTTATAAGTATATTCAATTAAAGTGAGAATGAATAGTCAATTTTTATTTTTATAGTTTTTAATATTTATGAAGTTTATAGTCAGGCATTCGATAAAATAATGAGCAAAGTATTAGGGGTACTTTAATAAATAACAAATTCCTCAATACTTACAATTTATTAACATTGCCAGGAAGAAAGGAAGGGTTTCAACAACACAAAAAAATAAGTAATTTATTTTAACTAATTAAATAATGTATTTATTTCTAAACAGTAATGATTATAAAGACTTATATGTTTTGTTATATGACAAAGGAATATTACACAAAAATACGTCTATTCCGGAATTTGAATCACTACCTTCATTATCAGAAATGCTTTCTTCGGATGAACCAGTATTAATAAAAATTGTAAATGGTCCAGCGTAGAGTCTAATAAATGTTCTTTTGCGATTTGAGTGTTTTCATATTTTTTTACGTGTTTACATATGTTAGGCCACTCTTCTATTAACACTTCTGAAAATTTTGTTCTTGTTATATTTTCAACATCATTTATGTTAAATGTTGTATTATGAGTGAGCACTCTACCTTTTACTAAAAACCATATTTTTTCGATAGGGTTTAACTCCGGATGATAGGGAGGCAAGCGAAGTACTTTATGTCCATGTTGTTTAAGCTCATAATCTAATACATAAACTCGTGGAAAACGTGGTTTACTGGCATGTATAATTTTTTATAATTCCGGTTAAATTGATTTCTTTAAAGTTTTTCCACTTTGATCTGCTCAGTGGTATGGTAGAGTATGGCTGGCGTGTATATATGTTTCGTCGGTATAAACTATGGTTCTACCCTAAGATCGAAATTGAACCAGTTTCTTTAAATATTCTACTCGTTTCAAAAGAATTTCATATTTTTCCATTAGGACACTCCCATTATCTTCCGTTGTTCTCCACCCGTAATTTGTTCAAGATAATTTGAAGAACATATTTTCAAAAGTATGATGGTTTAAATTTCAAATGTATCACAACATACAGAAGTGAGAACAATTTATTTGTTAAAAACAAAAATTATGTAGAATCGTATCGTATTTTTTGTTTACAGTTTTTCGGAAACCGGAACCGAAATAGATTATCCAAATATTTAGTACTTTTGAAAAGACACTATTCATATTCATCATAAGTTTAACTAAAACGATGCCAATAAAATATCAATTTAAATTACATTATCCATTATAGTTTTATTTGTTCAGCTAAATAATTATTTTACTGTGTTACCTAAAGCCTAATCTAATTATGATTTTCCTTAATGATTCCTTTAACCATGGAAATCCCATTTCTTTGTTCTTTAGTTTTTGATAAATACCTTAAATAAATAGAAATAGTTAAAATATTTGCAAAGTAAATCTTGTTTACTAAGGAAGTAAAATTGTAAAGGAATTGTATCTACCGTTTTTGTTAAAAATTTATCTATATCAGTGTTTTTACTAGAAAACTGTACTACCTGGTTAACATCCAATAACATACTCAATATATAACATGGTTAAAATCCAAAAACATACTCAAAAAATACAAAATTTGAAGGAATGAAGTGTCCTATGTTATGTTGTTTAATAAAGATGATTGTAAATTTAAATATAACATTTATTTGGGTTAGAGGCCATGTACGTATACCAGGGAATGAAAAATTAGACTGAAATAGGAACAGCAATGGGAGAATATTGTTAAAAACTCGCAAAATACATATTTCTAGATACACCCCACTTTACATTTAAAGATGTGAAAGTAGAAATATAAATTAGTATAACTTCAGTGATTTATACATATATCAAAAAAAGGAACAAACAAGAACAAAAAAATATCTTTAATATCGTCAATTTCGTTAAAGGTATTAACAGGTTTTCGGTTGTTTTGAAATATGCCGCCTCTTGTTCTATAAATGTAGTAACATTATAAATTATTGCCTTTGCTGGGCTATTTAATCTCAGCCCTTTTGTTCCTATCTTCTTAGAAGCCATATTGTTAAATATGGCTTAACAGTTCCCAGCTGTTCTCCGCGTGTAGAGGTTCTCTCTCACCGGCTCTGGTAACTCGATTCAGCCATGTGTTACCTCTAGTCAAATTTAATTTAATACTGAACATCACAGTTATTTTATAACACAATGTACAATCTTTTATAACTAAATGTAATTTAAAGGGTTTTTACCCTAGTATTTTGGTGGCTCAGGCATTGTGACCTAGCATTTTCGATTTTAAAACCTGATGATGGAGTGTGTGGTCCGAAAACGTTTGTTTTATTGATGTAGCCCTTTTAAGGGTTTTTTAAATAAATATACCCATTTACAAAGCCTAACCTCTTTTTGTGATACGTGGTATACAGCCAGCTACAGGAATTTTTTTCCTTGTGGATTTTATATTGTTAAATAACTAAACCTAACACACTATAAATACATTAAATTACTTAATAATTCACTAATTACTACTAACAATATTATACTAAGCACTAATATAAAATAAAATAATAAAATATCCAACACGATCAAATCAACAAGTCAAACACTGTCTGCGATACACAACTACGACACTGGCAAACAGCAAACTGGCCGTTTCTATGGTAACACTAGTAAACAAGAACCACCGCGTATCGTCGATTAATGAGTCATATTCCCAAACTAAACTTTGTTGGAGTCTACCACCATCTCTAGGTTAGACTAGGTGCTTTTGGGACCACCCAAATACCAAAGAATATAGACACATATACAGCTTAAATTTTGCCCTTTTAAACATCCTATTTATGTTGGGATTGTTTAATTCCTTTTCCTTTCAGTATATTATTTCGTTATGTCATAATCTTCATGTGCTATATTGTGATGTACATATCTTCCTGTCTGTATATCTATAGTAAATTAGTACAATTGTCTACAAGGTCTCTAAGAAAACACAAAACAACTTATCTAAAAATGTGTTGACAAAAACAACACATGCAAAAAGAATTCATACAACATAAACATGCATTTACTACAAATTATGACGATAACAAACAAAAATATAACTACCTCAATTGTTTTGTACTTGTCTGGGGTTTACTGCTACCCAATCGGAATGAAAATCCCGATTTTGTTGGGCTGAAATAAATTTAGTTTTAAGTTTTCAATGATAAAGTTATTCATTTTATTCATAGTTGGATACTTTAGCATACACTAGGTAAACAAATTATTTAATTTATAAAAGTTTGGCATTGAGAATACCTATAACTAGGTAACATATAACAACTGACAACTATAAAAACCTGTATGGAAGAAATATTATTTACTATTTTTAATGGCAATGAGCCATAATTTTAGTTGAAAATATGTTTATTTTGAAGTTTCACTTTTCATTAGGAAGTAGTTCTCAAAAAATAAAGTAAACAAATTTTTGATATTTGGTAACACAAAAAAATCTTCTAATAATTTAATTTTATCTGCCTCATTCATATTGATAATTCAGATATATATTTTAAATTTTAACATAGGTGAGTTTATTGTCACTATTTTTGAGAAGTATTTCTGGGACAACTTTATTGGAAGACAGTTCATTCAATTACATGAAATTAACTTTAACTTGAGAATACCCATCAGAAAAATCATAGCATGTGGTTTATCTTTAAAAAGACAACTACACCCAATCATTAGATATGGGTCATTCCATACATTATATAAGCAAAAATAAAATGATGTATTTATCATATAGGTTTAAGACCCTATAGTAAACATAGCTTTCAGATAGCACCCAAAAATATCATGTGTGCTTGGATCATCCTTTATGCACTGTTTTTACATTTAATTTGATAATTCTGATTTGCTTTATAGTTATGAATTATTGAATAAAGCATTGCACACTTTGACAAAAATCATGAAATATGTAACAATTAATGGATATCGCAAAGAGCTTGTAGTTGAACAAGAAAACAATGAATTTAAAATTTTTTTTATTTAAAAATTCCTTTATAAAACGTATAATATTAAAAACTCTATAGGGCTATATCACAAAACATTTTCAGAATTAATATTCTATCATCAATGCTATCTGGATGTGCATGTTTGAAGCCACTAAATATATGGGTAAAAACCCTTTAAGGTCCATTCACTTAGCTAGAGAATATTTTGACAGATTCATAGCTGGAAACCTACAACCCAAAAGTTCCTATCTCACTGTATTAACAGCTAAATAAACTTTTATTGCAGACTTCTTTCATTGAAAAAAAAAAAAGAATTATTATAAATAATGTATGCTAAACCCATAAAATTTTGGGTAGTATATATTTAAAAAATATATTTCAGTCGTTATAATTTAACATATTCCAGTAATTATTTGTATTAATCACACTTATAATTTTATTATTTGTAATAATTATACATTATTATGGTGTAAATAAATAAATATTGATTGTCAATAATTTGTAAAGTTCTATTTTATTTACATTTGTTTACATTAATCTTGTATATGGGCATGTGTGCTTGGTTGTATAGTAATTTTCAGCCACTTCTAGTCTGTCAAAAAGTAACTAACTTCGTAAAACAATAATTACTAAATTCTCTAGATAGTTCGGACTGGGAATAGCAAACCAACTATAAATGTTCTTAGATTAACTTTGAGTTACAGTCAAAGTTAATCTAACAACATTTAAACTGTTTTTACCCATATATTTAGTGGCTTTAAACATCCAGATAGCACTGATGATGAAATATTAATTCTTAAAATGTTTCTTGATGTAACTACATAGAGTTTTTAATATTATACCTTTTATAAAGGAATTTTTTAAATAAAATTTTTGTGATACATGGTATACTATAAACACACAGTAAACTACAGGTTTTCTTGTACAAATTAATGAATTTGTTAATATTGGGTTTTAGTCCCTAGATTGGGACACAGATTCCATTCTCCTAATTATTCCATGAATCAGTATTTAAGTATACCTAATCCTAAGGAATGTTTATCTACCCCGATATTTAACTTGACATAATCAATAGAAATTCATTCTCCAAGAGATACCTAATTTTGAAGCAGCTATGTCTGCATAAAGGATAGTTTTGAGTGACATGTAAAAAGCTGTATTTATATTGAAGCTAGTACAAGATAGTCAGAAGAGTGCAAGAAGACTGAATGAACAATTGAGAACTGTTTGCCTACATAGATAATAAATTTTTGACAATCCCAGCTGTAGGTGGAAAAGGGAACTATTAAACAATAGTTAGGAGAGGATATTAATACCTAAATTTGAAACTTAAATGGAATGTGAATCCAAAGAAATGGAGTAAATACATCATAATACATATAACATGACAAACTTTAAAGTACCAAATGTATATATAAAAGTATATATAGAAAAATAATGTAAAACATTTGAGTTTGTCGGAATTTAGGCTGAATATTAACTTTATAAATTATAAAAAACAATTATTAACAAGAACCACTGTGCATCTGAATCTAAACTAGTTAGTAGTTGTATTTTTAGTATATTAACCATTTAACTATTTAAAGCAACGAAATCAGTAAATAAAACTTAATTGATATGCCAAATCAGCAATAAACCAAAAATTCTACTGATAGCACTGTGGAGATAATTAATTTTTCTTATTTCCTAGAGTAGCCAAATTAAAAAATGTGCCATAATTTGTGCCTTAAAAGTAAAATTATATCTACTAGATGTATCCAAATATGTGAAAGTTAAAAACATTCCCATCTAATTAACTTCATAAAATTACAATAAAATACCACACTTTAGTAAGAAGTACTCACCTTTGTGAATGTTTTTCTGTGTCTTGGATTTTATCTACCCATTTTGGTAAATATCGCATTTTGACTACTTTTAAAACTACCTGTTTTTCATATTTTAATTACTTCATTGTTAAAACCAATATTACAGTCACTGCATTATTAAAATTCTCCCACAGTATTTTCCATTGTTGACATCCTAGAGGGAAATATTGTTGCTAGGTAACTGAATACCTTTATAAAAAACTGAATTGGAAGAGTATCAAATATTATAAAACTTAATCAACTTAAATCTGAAACAATAAAATAGAACATGGTTAATAAAGGCACCCTTGCCGTAAGACAAAGAGATTAAATATACCTAATTATTTAAAAATTTAAACTTACATGTTATATACTTACTGCAGCTGACGATATTGCTAAAAAATCATGAATAGTTTTTTATTTATTCTACGGTTTAACAATTTTACCCTCGTAAAAAATCAAAAAGTCTTAAAACTCTTTTGTTTGTATTTTTTAAACAGGTGAATTAGCCGACAACTGACGACAACCAATAAATACCTTCTATCTACAACGACAGGTCAGGGTTGCCAAGTGAAAATTTTTGTCCTCCCTAAATTGAACATTAAAATATCCCTAGAAATCCCTAGATTGGAATAAATGTATATATGGTTGCCTAATTCTGAATAAAATGATGGGATGTATTGATGGTTGCCTAATATAATAACATGGATATACAAAAGGTTGAGTTTATCGAAAGTACAAGCTGATTATAGCCGCAAATGTTAAACATGAAACAAAAATATAAAGCTTTATAAAGTACATTTTGTTTATATTATGTTGTGCATTCTGCAATTTTTGGTTTATATAAAACAACAATGAGTAAATATTTGTTTCTTTGGAGATTAATTGCAGTTAATTAACCCCCTCTGTGGCTCAGTGGTAAGAGCGCCTGCCTTTAAACCTAAAGGTCGTGAGTTCAAATCCCACCTGGGTGGAAATTTTCGTTTATTAAAAAAATTAATAAATGAAAATAATTTCTATCCTTGTGTGATTGGTACACACCGGAGGGACCGCAGACGTTCGGGTACAATTAGCGTCTCTTAGCAAAGACAATGACGTCGACTTTGCTAAGTATCAAGACAATTACTCTACACACACAAACACACACACACACTACATTAATAAACTTATTTTGATTGAGACTGGCTTAATGACAATTGTCCAAGCCAAAACAAACAAAAAAAATTGCAGTTAATTATTATAATTTTTTTAGCAATTACCCTTTGGTAGATTAGGGGATAGATTTGGCAATCATCAAATCAGCAGTTGCCAGATTACAACAGATGTTTGCAATTAATCTAGAAAGAGACAAATATCTACACGTTACTGCTTCATATAAATTAAAAATTGCAGAATTCATAAAATAGTATAATCAAAATCTACTTTTTAAAAGCTTTATCTCTTTATATTTGAAACATACAATATATTATGCATTATAAAAACATAAAAACACTACCAAGCCGAAATATTTTTGACATTTGCGGCTATATTCAGCTTGTACTTTCGATAAACTCAATCTAAAAAAATAATTGTTGTTTTATACCTTTATTTCAAAAACATTACATTTTTAAACGATACAATAGCGGTGATTTAAATAAATTTAACAAAAATGGAATAACGTACTTATTTATGGCTTTGAATATTCCATTTAATATATTATTAAGTATAATTCACGTAATAAAATTAATACAAAATACCACTTGAAGAGAAATTAGACGGTGAAGCATAGAATTTTATTGATATATTTCCACGAATCCTGGGATTCACCCGATTCCTACTGTAAATCCCCTAATTATTTTATAAAATCTAAGATTTTTGTAAAACCCCTAATTCTTGCTCCAGAATTTGCTTCTCCTTTATGATAATATATAGGAAAGGAATCTATTTTTGGCAGAAATCTATTTGGTAGCATAAAATAAAAATTCCAAGAACGAGGACATTTAGCGACATCTGATAATAGAATCCTTAAGAAGTTTACTAGTAGTTTAATTATTTGTAATGAAATGAGAGATCGCTTCTTTAATACCGGTCATACGAAGTGGTTTTACACCTGAATTAAAGAAAATATTATTATAATAGGCCTATGTAGGTAAATATTTGAGCTGGTCAAAAATCCCTAGATTTTACAATAAATATCAAAAAAATCCCTTTGTCCCTTTTATACTGAAATATCCCTAGATTCGGGATAAATCCCTAGACCTGGCAGCCTTGCGACAGGTTGTTGTACTTACACCTGGTGAAAGAGACACCTGTATGTGGTGTGCCAAAAAGAAGGAAAGAGATAGAATATGTGAGAATAGAATGATAGCTCAGTGTTGCCAATTTAATGCTTGTTTCCTGTTTAGTCACTTTAGTTTTGTATACAAAAGTTCGGTATAATCAGCATATATTTTATAGTTTTATAGGGTGTCGGTAGTCGGTGTAGGGTGTATAATATAGAACAATTTAAGAAAAATAATATCACTTGGAATTATTTATATTTATATAATTATTCCAAGTGATATCATTTTTCTTAAATTGTTCTATATTTATTATACACCGACTACCGATATCATCGAACCCGATACCCTATAAAATGTCTTTTATATAATTAATGAATAAAAATAATAACAATAAAGGATATCTTCCTACCCAATGTACAAAACTGATAGGTAGGTATCCACTAAAAGAGTTTCAAAGAAATTGGGCAATCGAGCCTAATGATTGATGATTCTGAGTAGAGTAGGTACATCTTATTTTTATTTCTCTATGGTAGAGTAGATTATAACGTAAATAAAATTATAGTAAACCTGATTTGAAAATCAATTAATTCCTTATACAACAATAGTCTGACAACATAGCAGGCAATCTGAAATGTTTGTTGTGCCTACTACACCATGCTCAGGTAAAATAAATCAGTTTAAGATCATTGATTCTATCTATGTATGTACATAAGTAATTTTAAGATGTTGAATTTTTTGCGTCTTAAACTTTAGGATACGTAAGTGTATTTACAATTTTAACGTAATTAAGAATTTAGTACAAATATTATTCAATGTTTAATAATCGAAGTTATTGTTAGAATTATTTTAGACACTTAATTATTTAATTATTTTTCGTAATTTCCACAAGATCGTGAACAGAAGAAAGCGATCGTTTCAGTTGCACCTAAATCTACAGAAAAAACTGCAAGTGTAGAAAACGACTTATCCGTGGAACCTGAAGTAAAAGTTGTCCTGCCTGCGACTCCTGGTCAGGAAGTTGCTACTACTACTACTACTACTATTACTTCTGGTACTACTACTACAGAGACTGGCAATTCCTTTACTTCGTTTTGTTCCTTGTTTTGTGGAACAATATGCCAAGGAACTCCGTTGGCAGACTATTTCACATCTAAATCGGACGTAGCTCCATTAAGAACTGTTTTGGCTGGTATGTGGACATAAACGGATCTGCATGAAACATTTTGCATGATTATTTCTTTAATTGTATGGCTATTGTTATACATAGTTTAAGCAGAGCAAAATATATTGATAATACTGTAAGTTAGAACTGTCTGTAAAAAGAACGCAAAAGCTTGTCATATCGAATTACCTTTAAGTATGTTTATCTAATTAACCAACGATTCCATAATTGAATATAGGCCCTCCTAATTTTTTTATTTTTCTCTGGTATTAAGAAGAACGATCTATACGTCTAAAAATTTTTCACTTCTGGTGAAAATTTTTATTGGCTTCTAGTTTATAATTGATCCTTTTAGATGCAGATTTAGTCGTTGAACAAACAATCAATTTGATTTCGATCCACAACTTTGCTTGCAAAATAAAAATTCACACAGAATCTGTACGCCATTGAAAAAATATTTCAAACAAGTAATTTAGCTAAGATAGATAATGTTGATCAAAAATGTTTATTAGCACTTTGTCTGTCGAATTAACCGTTCTCTCAGAAACAATGCTTGACGTGACGGGCGATTTTAAACGTGTTACGCTTGCGAAATTAATTTTTTAAATAAAATTTGTAACAACTCGACGGTAAAAATTCGATAGCTTTTGATTAAAGTATCCTATTGACGAAAATTAAAATTGCTTTTAAAATAATGAAGAGTGCATCTTTCTTAAGCAATTCTTGCATTTTGTCGTAAATAGCAAAAGTCGTTAAAAGTAGAAAACTTTGAAAAACTGTGTCTTACTTAAAATTAGTCTTAGAGCTTTCTACAGTAACCATTTTAAAGGCAATTATTTTTCTTTCATTTTAATGTACGATTGCATATACCTAAAGCTATGTAGAAAAGAATGAAATAACAATGTTTGCGAAAAAATAGGCAAAATAGTATGAGTGTCAAAAAAATTCGAATTTCGAATACGTACTGTAAATCCTAGTAAAGACTTCTACTAAATATCATTTTAAAAAGGAAGGAAAAAAGTAAAGTAGTGCCTATATGTATACACCCGTGAAAAAAAGTTGTGGGGCATAAAAGAAAATCGCGTGTGTTCCTATTTTTTGGTTCGTTTTTAAAATATATTTTTGTTAAAAAAAATATTTTAAACTTAACCAGGTAAAATTTCGATAGGAAATTTAATTTTGAACAACTTTTTTGTAGGTATATATGTACGAAATTATATACTACAAAGCAGCCTACGACTCTGTAAATAGAAATGAAATGTTCAAAGAGTTAGGAACACCAAATCAGTTGGTAAATTTAATAAAACTAACTCTTGTAAAAGTTAAATGTAGGCACTAATTCAGGAGGAACTGTCTGAACCTTTTAAAACAAAAAACGGGCTGCGCTAGGGAAACCCTCTCTTCCGTATACTGTTCAATCTGGTTCTGGAAAAAGTAATACGGATCTCACAAATCATAACCGTTGGTTTAATATATAGTAAATCAGTGCAAATCCTGGCCTATGCTGATGATATCAATATTGTTGAGAGAACGGAAAACGCTGTACGAGAGATGTAAGTCGCATTAAAAGAATCATCTAATCATCACAAATCCTATGACCACTTGTTATAGAAAGCGACGTCATCGAAGCATTGAACGAATTT